ATGTTGGGGACAGTTCTGGTATGAGTGGGAGGTTGGACCAGAGACACCAGAGATTCCTTCCACCATCCCCACTGAGATCTCTAAATAACAGGATTACTTGGAAGATGAGGGGACAGCAGAGAAAAGATCCACCTCACTTGCTGGATGTTTTTCCAGTGAAGGTCTCTTCTGCTTATCACCCCAGGCAGCCCAAGAAGTTATGCATGGCAAGCCACATTTTCTGACATTGCTGCATGCACAGAAAGCACCACTTCCAATGTCCTTTTGGTATTTCCCCAGAAACACTCTCAGACAACCTTGGGCTGCTTAATAGCATCCTTGATGGAGGACCACTCCTTTGAGTCCAGCAGCAGCTCAGCCCTTGGTTCCCATTCCTATTCCAGCGTTTTCCATGATACTGTGGTGTCTGGGAACATATGGGGATTTGCATTGCAAATGTGCCTGGACAGACCTGAAGAGTCAAAGCTTTCATCATATTATAATACTAAAAGTACATCAGAAAGGAGTTACAGATTCTAAAGCTATTTGAGCATGTAAAATAGAAAATACAAGTGTGCTCTAGATCCTGTCCCCGAGCAGTTGAATGCAAAAGCACAGTGGAAAAGTGTGAGCTCTCAGCATAACTGGCCCAACAATGAGCTAGGATGCTCATTGTACTTAGTTTGGCTACTAAATGTCCTGTCTACAGTTATGTAAAGGATAAAAAAAACACTGATGAGAACAACCAGGGCCCTCTTGGTGGCAGTGGTATGAACAAAGCTGGTAAGCACAAGATAAAGAGTGAAGCAGACCTAGAGGTAAGTGGAAAATCATGAAAACATCAGGCAAAAATGTGCCAAAAACTGTGAAAGGCAAATAAAGAAATGTAGAAGAGGGGACATAAATATGCAAACAAGGAACAGTGCAGACAAGGGATAAAATGCTTTAAGAAAAATGTGCCACAATAGACTTGTATCTAATAATCGTAAGAAGATCAACCATTATGCAAGAGTCTGCAGACCAGAGAAAGCCAAGGAAAGAAAGCACAATACCTGGAAAAGTAGGAGTGACTCAAAATCTTAGATTTTATACATTTATGACACTAGCAGATTAAAAATGGCAGAAATACTTTTTTTTTTTTTTTTTGAAAGCTCTGACTACCACCAGATAAGGCAAAAACCTGCAGAGACACACAGGCCAACAGGAAATTGAATGGGAAGTAGACATCAATGCTTCTGTGAATGAACACAGCTACAAAAACTTCCACTGCATTGTGCCAAGGGAAAAATCAAACCCAGAGCTAAGTAAAGAGAAATTAAAATTTCATGCAGGCTCTAAGGCAGTATAAGACACAAACATACTAGAAAGGATATTCATCATCCAAACAACACAGGAATCACTGTTTTCAGCAGTACATTAAAGGAATCCTGACATGAGACAGAGAGATATGATCCACGCAAAACCGCAGGAGCGAAACGGATAAGCAAATGTAAAATATTCTGAGCAGACAGAGTGATGCATCTGCTAGCAAGAGAGAAATCCTTTCTGCTAACCAAGTACTGCAGACACAGTTGCAACTCCAGAGCTAGCAGTTCCGGTGTGCTCAGACACAACTGAACTCCCATGTACTTTATTTTGCACACAGAAGACACGACCCTCAGTGAGGCTGTGCAGATATTTCAATTTCTGAAATTGATATTTCAGAAAGCATCAATCACATAAGTTGTGGCACAGGTGTAAGGGAGCCCACAAAGCACCATGTCTGTGATCTTTCCAGGGAACCATGACTCATACTATCACAAATACTAAGAGATGCTGAGGGTTTGTTTCTAGCATTTCAGATGAAAGCAGACAGATTACCAGTTCCTGATGCCTGGGATGAGAAACTCAGTTGGGAGTAGAGGGGAACTATTCTGAAGTTGAAGGCTGTCCTTCAAGGTGGCCTTGATTGTGAAAGCTAAAACTGACTGCACAAATGGGTCCTTGGCTATCATGCTTCATAGTTGGTGGAGAAGCTGAAGTCAAGCCTTCTAAATGAGACAAGATGGAATTTAAAATTGTGCACCCTGTGACTCTGCCCTATCTAGTATGAAGGCATTTAACATATGAATAGGTGGTGCTGTCATACTGCCCACAGAAGAGTGCAAGAGAGTTGAGGAAAGTAGACAGTTTTGAGTTGTGCTGCACCTCCTTTGCAGTCCAGCAAATCTCTGAGATACCTCAAAGGACAGAAATGTAGGTGTTGGAATGATTATGCACAGTTTTAGAGATCATGATTTAGCCATCTGGGCCCCATGAGTCACACTAGTCACACATGAGACGTGTGTCTCAACCACATGGCATCTGCTGGTTGATCTGAGATGTAGAGATAGATCTCCCTCTAATGTCACTTTTTAGGTCTCTATAATTTTTAGAAATTGCAATCTTACATACCCATGATAGATTCTGATTACACAGCAGTTTCCCATCAGTGTTTTTCACTGATGCCCACTGAGTTATGCCTGACTTGCATCAGTATGATGAGAGAGAAATCTAAACCACTCAGCAATCACCAGTGTGTCTCCATGGAGTGTAGCAGAGAAGCTTTTGGGGAGGTTTTGGGTTGCTTTTTGCTTAACAGCTAGTTTTCAAAACAGCAAGCAGACCAGTTACTTGGGGAATGGATGACAGATGGCAGAAACAACATTATGCTGTACACTTCCATTCCTGGGTCAGGAAAGGAAAAGCTTATAGCCTGGGAAGATCAAGTTTTTACATGAGACCTATCCAGATGAGATTCCTCCTTAATTGTTTGTTCTGAAAGCAAGAAAGCAGACTGGTAAAGCAAGGAAGATGGAAGCAGTCCAGGTAAGACCAGTTTCATATTTGGACATCAGCATGATTCCCCTCCCCAGTGTTCCACTATAGTGCCAATTATCTTGCCCGTTGCTATATGAAAGACACATTGCTCTGATTTATTGCCAGCTTTGAGTACAAATGTTCCACTTCCCTGCATATTCTGCAAAATGCACCTCTATCATGTTTGTCAAGTTGTTATGGGCTCAGGAGATTCCCTTAACTGTCTCCAGGTGCTTTATACACACAGTGCAGGTGTAAGAACCCAGATGACCAGGGCCTTTCAGCACTGGACATTACAAAGATACTTTGGGAGAGTGGGTGATCTGATGCAGAAAGTAGGGCTGGGGAGGAGAAATGGGGTGCTGAGAGGGCTCATGGTACAATAATTGATCATGGGAGAGCCAGGAGAAGACTGGCCCAGACTAATACACCAGCCTGACACCAATATTGCTGAAAGTATGTCTTGGAAAGAATTCCAGCTGTATCCAAAGAAGTTCTTGGGAGCTGATACTGGCCTCATCATTTGTTCAATAGGTTTCCAACAGAGATAGGGTCTTGCCCCAGATGAAGACAACACTCTTCCTTAGTAAACTGAAGTGGCCAGTGGGGTGGGCGGTGAGCTTTCCAGACAGGAAAGACAGTTAATGCCTTTGCTGCCATGCCAAGACCCTGGTCTGTACTTGTTCTGCCTATGGGCTAAGGGTCAGTGTCTGGGTGGGCAAGCATCAGCTGCACCCACTTCCATATAGATCAGAATGACTTGATCCCTCCCAGGGATCCCATTTCTTTCAGTCCTCCTTCTGTGGCTTGTGCCTCTTGCTGCTCATCAGTCTGGAGCTCTTGGGAAGAGTTGTCACTGCAGGAAACAAGGCTCTTTACCCAAACACCTTTAAGGGCTTTCCAGGACTCCATGAAAAAGGGGCAAACTTTTCCCCCACTTGGGTACTTCCCGGATTGTAGTGCCAGAAGAAATGATGCTGATTAACAGCGAAATAAAGACTTGCTTATGTTCATTGGTTTCACTCTGATGTTTCCCATCAGTATTTCTCATTGACAAGACATTTCAGAACTGTTGTGCGTTGATCATGTGCAGAGATTGGAGTTTGCAGGTTCAGGTCTTGACCCAAAGTTTTAGATGTACATCCAGCTCCTGTTTTCTAAATGTAGCTGTACAGAAGTGTCTTATGACTACAGAAATATTTATCTCAATTATAAATGTGCAAACCTAAGCTTCTCCTGACAAATGCATGAAGAATTTTTTTTCCTTTGGAAAGGAAGTAGGAGGGTAACAGAATCAGACATCATAGATCTGTGATTTTGAACCAAATTATTGATGTTCTTATTATAAGTCAAACTCTTTACTGTTGCTGAATGTTAGGTTATGACAGATAATGATCTATACAGTCTATTTGCTATATTATTTATATCAATCATCTAAACTACACCTAGTTCTCTCAATGTGCATGACTTTAAGGGTTGAAAGATTACTACAGAGGAGAACATGTGGAGAGCAATTAAAACAAAAGCACTGAGTTCATTTTCATAGAACTTGATCCTTTCACTGATTTACAATGATCATTTACATATGTGATTTTCCTTTTTTTTTTTTTTTTTTTTTTTTTTACATGTCAAGGGAGCAAGATTCTCATGAAAACAGCTATGATTTACTTCCAACATAGGGTTCAATCTGGGACGTAGGTGCTTAGACACTATATTGTCTTGAGTTTCCTCCTCTTTACAATTTTTTGTTAAAGCATTGGGCAGCTTAAATGTCATAGGGCTAAGATATCCCATCTTGCTCCGTGAATAATGATGTCCAAGCAAAATTATCACTGAAATCATAAGGTCAAATACTCAAGCATGTGCACATATAAATTTGTAGCAACTAAAGAACAAGTAAATGACAAACAAAGTGTTCTTCTGGATAATTTTCAGGTGGAACAAATGGCTACATTTGTCAATTAATTATTCAGACTAAATTGTTTAAGCAGTGTAACAGTGATATCTGTTTATCTTGAAGTAATTTCCCAGGCACTAAACAAGCTCTGGGCATGTTGTTGTCCTCTCTCTAAGAGATCAATATCCCTCATGCTTGTCTACCATAATATTTACACCCAAGCAGGATTATTGGCAAGGGCAAAAGTTGGACAAAGCACTTAGAAAAGAAAGCCACAAGAAAATGCTTCAAACTTTACAATTCACATTTATTTTGAAAAAATGTTTTGTTAAAAATACTCCTACAAAGGCATTGGAGCAGCAGGTTTCTGTTTCCTTTATAAATACATCTGATCTATTTCTTTCTTTATTTTTCTCAGTAACATTGACAGACATCTGACGAAGCCAGGGGAAGCCCTGGTCTGAATGGAAGACACATCCCTGTGTAACAAGGACCTGAACACTATCTCCCCATTCACAATTAAAAAAATACAAATACTGTCATGAAAAGTGTTACATTGTCCATAGGGCCACAGCCAACATACAGGATGACAAAGATTAGGAAACCAGGGTTGGGGACACCCCTGGAGCCCAGCTACTGTATCCTTGGATTAGTGTTAGGAGGATGACAAGATGTAGCACTGGCTAGACACGCTTGTCTTTGGGCAGTTGAAGGATACACATAATTTCCTGATCCTATACTGCCAGCTCCTTCCAAAGCCATGACAAGGAGGTCAGTGCCCAGCAAAATCTCCTCTCCCTACAAACCTTTCCTACGACATAGGCAGCTCCTCCACAAATCTTCCAGCGAAAGCTGACAGCTTCACACCTTGCACATTGGAGGAGCCTTATGAGCAAACCACAGCAATCCAACACCCTAGCAGGCAAGAGGCTTTGTTGCCACAGTGCTCAACCACCCTCTTTCCTGCTACATTACTGCCACCTCCCCACCTCACCTTTCAGGCCCCAGCATAGGTTTCCTTCCCTCGAGGACCTTGTGGTTTCTCCCTTACATTGTTGACTTGGGCCTTAGCCTCTGAGCTAGGAAAAGATATTCTCTGCAGGGACTCTTTTAAAATGGAAACATGTACAGCTATGTTGGTTCTTCAGTTTCTCAGAAGCCCATTCATATGTGGCATCTGGAGCTGCAGAAGGCAGTTTGACTATTTGTGCCTAGCTCACCCTCTGAATTAAGTCTCTGAGCTCCTAGCTGCAACTCACCTGTGTCCTGTACCCCACCACCTCTCAAACCATAGCTTGGCTAAGTGAGTGGGGATCACAGCTTTACTTGGGACAGTGATTTGAAACATCAGGCTAATTTCTCCAGCAGGAACTGCTACTGCTTGGCTCTGACTTCAACTACTTGAACACTCCTCCAAAACTTAAATAGGGCCTCAAAGCACACCCTGGGTAGACTGACTTCATAGCCCATCCAGAACAGACAGCATGACAAGGAGTGACATAAGGCTGAAAAAGCTTTTCCAAAGCAGACCTGGAAATAGAAACCATGTCCTTGGACTGATGGGTGTGCTCATTTACCTGTGCATAAGAGGCAGGGTTGGATCCTTTTCCCTGACCTATTCCATGGGAACATTGATCATGGATCCTGACACACCTGCCCTAATTTCATACAACTTTCTACTTCTTTATCCAGGAAGATCTGGGATGCAAGGTGGCTGATGTTTCCAGGGAGGAAAGGGAGGAAGACGGATAGGCAGAGGGAGGATTTTTTCATGGGAAGAAATGTAGCTAAAACCAGGTTCCCTGCAGAGACATGCTGAGCCAGGTCTAAGGAAGGGACTCCTTGGTAACGGCCCAAACCTAAAAAAAACATCCAGTCCTCCTATACTTGGGATGGAACAGAGGGCAAAGAAACAATGAAAAGAACGGACAGTTGATGATGAAGGACAAGTAATAAAAAAGGGTGCAAGAGTCGCAGGCTGAAAAGTGGATAGAGAAGTCACTGAAGGAAGGCATCCAGCAGAATGCCCCCCCCCCCAGTTCAGGGGTCTGTGCTTGGATCCATGAGTGAAGGAACAGACACAATCCCCCAGTCCCTGATTTCTCCCCCTCCAGCTGCATCAGGATGGCAAGGGATGTGCTGTGATGTGTGGTCTTTGTTGAGGAGGGCCATTATGAAGAGGAGAGAAGTGAAGCCAGGACATCAACAGGAGAATCTGGATGATCTAGGAGAAGGACCACAGCCTGGCACACTGGAGATGTGTGCACCAGGGATTGATCTCCTTGCAGGAGGGACACCCACAAACTGCAGTTGTCTGAGAGCCCAAGGTCATGTTTAGTCTCTCCAACTCCCTCACCCTCCAGGAAGCCTGTCCTTCCACCCCTGATCAAGCCAGGTTTTTTGCTGCCCAGATATTCTCACTGTTTGATGGTCCAGGGGTGACCAGACTTGTCTGTCCACTCTGCACATGGCTGAGCTGGGTGGGGTGAGCTGTGGTGTCTCACTTCCTTCCACTGTTGAACAGCTTGGAAGAAAACTCTGGAGCTTGAAGGCAAGATGGTCAGTGCTTCTACTGGCCTGAAGGACCTATCCACAAGCTGACTGTGTGTCCTGGAGCAAGTTCTTACTCCAGAAACACTGCAGTATTTTGGGAACTCCTGCAATTTGAATTCAGCTGTTCAAACAGGAATTGTACCTCGACTTCTTTGTAGCTGGCAGTCTTTATTTCTCAGTACCTGTCCTGTGGAAAGCTTTGGCTTGCCTCTAGGACATGTGCTTTACAGACTGTGGGGTGCTCAGGTATGGTGGGAACAGACACTGTACAGTGTCCCTGGTCTCCTACAGCTTACAGGGACTGCAGGGGACCAGGACTACACAGCCAGGGACCCCTTCTGCTCCAGACAGACCCTTCTCCCACATTCCAGGGCTGCTCTGCGTAGGGAAACGAATCACTGCCTGTGTCAAATAGCTTTTCACTCATGCCATCAAGGTTGCTTAAGCAACGGAAGCATTTTTGGTTGGGTTCTATGTTGTCCTCAGGACATAAAGGACAAATTCAGCTTCAGAACTGGGCCAGCACTCATAACTGAACCTTGAACTTAATACTTGTCTGTATCTGGTTCTGGACCCCCCAACACTCAATGCCTGCCCTGGGGTGCCTCTGGCATTTCACTGCATGCACTCAGCCCTGCCCTGAATCACTCCATTGCATCAAGAACTCTTTGCCCATTTTAGAAGCTTGTCCCAGGTTCCGCTCCTGCATTTTCACCCTTGAGCTCTCACGGGTCCATTTGGACTCATGGTTAGATATTGAAGCAACTAGCTCATGCTGAGCCAACCTCCAATGCAGAGGGGCAACAATCTCACTGTCAGAAACCAATCCATAGCAGAGGAAGGAAAGAAGGAAAGCAGTCCTCTCTGTGCACCAGGTTCTCTGAATCATAGGTTTGAGGCAATGATGCTTCCATAGAGAGCTTCCACATCCAGAGCATAATAGACCACCAAGACAGTCTCCCATTTTGTGCCATTACTGCTATTTGAGGCACAGATGACATGCTGCAGCTCTGAGTTCCAGGGTTGCCTTGTGTTACACAAGGAATTGGGAAGAGGAAGCAAGTCGTTTCCTCTGACATGGGAAGCCCTCTGGCTCCACACAGAATCCTTCACCAGAAAGAGCAAAGAATGGTATATCAACGATGCTCGATGGAGTATTTGGGCTTTGGAGAGATGTAAAATGTGTCAGCCCCAAGAATATGATAGTAAAAAGGAGTGTTGTAGGAATTCCGTTATATACCCTATGCCCCCAGACATCCATGACCCAGAAAAACTGGAAGAGGTATCTTTGTGTTGAGGAGGCATATACAGATTTTTCTTCCACAAATTTGTCCATTCATCTTTTGCGTCCATCTAATGCTTGGTATTAACATGCTCCAGCAATGAGTTCCACCCTTCATTCACTGTGCTTTGTGCCAAATAATATTCTGCTTCACCTGCCTTAGTGTTTTTATTGTGAGAAATAGTGATTGCTGCTTATTGACCTTACATCTTTCCTGATTTAATGACATGACATTTTTTATAACCATGGTATACCTCTGCCAGACCAAGAATCAAAATCTATTTATCTTTTATACCTCCCAAACAATTCCAGCTCCTCTTGAGGCCCATGTTTATATATTTCTTAGTTTCTGCATATCCCTTTTGGTTGAGGATAACAAAAGTACCACCAGTATTTGAGAAGCCAGCACATCAGAGATTTACTGGCTCATAACAACATTCTTGAGTGAAGGCTGGAGTGCTAATATTTGCTAGCAATTGGAGATTCCGCATTTATCCTCCACTAGCTAAGGCCAAGCAAGGGTGTGGCTTTGCCACACCATCTGTCTCAGGCTGGTGTCCACAGCGTCTGAGAGGCACCGTTCCATTGGGATCTGGTGCTTGTCAACCTCCATGTCCCAAGCTCACAAACCAGCTCACTTGCCACAACCAGACTCAGTGAGCTGGAAGTGCTGGAAAAAGGCAATTTGTGGGAAAAGGGTGATTTGACTGTCAGCTTAAACCCCAGGTTAGAATAACATGCTTCCCCCTAGTCCTCCTTGAACTCATTCCATCAGTATTTGCTAAAATAGCTGACTGGCTTTTAAAGACTTGGCAAAGTTTAATCTTTTCCTCCTAGACTTTGTAGGAATCATCAAAGGATACAGCATGATACCTGTGCAGGAACTGAAGACTGACCTTAGAGGTAGAAGTAGAAGATATAGTTGAGGCAACTGAAAAATTCCTGAAATTTACTGCAATAAAAGAACTGGAAAAGTATCAACCAAACATTTGTTGTTCTTTTTTTCATGAAGATAAAACAGAGTTCCTGAAAAAAAATGAGGCACACAAGGTCAAGTCTTGTGGCTTGTTTGCAGTAATGACAATCAGGGGCACTATGAATATCTAGCAGTTGTGGTTGGGGTGAGCAAGCCAGTGATCAGACAGTGCTACAGAAGTGGGACTGCTGCTGCACTCCTACAAAGCACAGGAGTGCAGATAAATTTATTGAAGAATTGGAAAAAAAAAAAAAAAAAAAAAGGGAAAGAAACTGCTGAATCTATTGTAAGACAGCTGAGAATGCAGATTAAGACAAACAAAGATTTGTGGGGAAAGAGGATTTTTTGCTTCCAGTCCCAAATTTCTGCAAAAAAAACATTTGTCAGTGGAGTTTGCGGGAATAGCAGAGGGAGAGCAATAAGGTAAATTCCAGGAAATATTTGCAAAAGTGCACGGAGTTTTCTAGGAGAACTATGGAAGATTGCAACACATATAGAAGCAAACACAGACCAAAGTTGTGTCCTGTCTTTGGGAATGGCTCAATAGTTACGATAAGCGAAGTCATCCTTAAGAATTTTAAAGACAAGGCCAAAATGCGACTGAAGAATGTATATTCTGCATAGTAGGAGGATTCTAGTGCCTCTCAGCAACGACAAGATGAAATCAGCAATACAGAAAATAATTTTTTGGTGGGAATTGCTTGTGAGACAGCCAGTGGCAGAATTGCACAGAATTGTGAACATGGCAGAACCAACATGACCAGCAGATGTGATCAGTGCTCAGGTCACAACTAGAGCTCCAGGACAGAATGTGGTTGTGTTGACTGCAGGCAGCTCGGATCATGCAACTCTGAGGACATATAATTTGGTGTAACTAATTGATATAAAGCACTATTGGTCCTAGAGCTGAAAGCATGTCAAACACCAGTTCACTACAAGACTGAAATGTAAAAGGAAGGGAATACAGCAAATAAAGTAAATTTTAGGATGCTTTTAATGGCATTGGATAACTGCCAGCAAAATATAAAAATGAAGTTGGTACTGCATTCGTTGTTCATGTAACTCTGAAGAAGTAAATGCTGAATCCTGTATGTGAAGAACTTGTAAGTATGTAAAATTTTTGAAGATGGAAAAAGACCTACATTAAATCAGCCTTAAATTAGACATGCAGGAAGGAAGAAGAAATACAATAAAAAAAAATAGACTCCACTAAAACAAACCAGACCACAGTGATACTTTCAGACATTCTGGATTCATACATCCAAGGCAGCCACAGATTTATTATATCATCAGAGGACACAACTGTTAATGATGCAGCAGAGTTCAAGCCCTAACTCCAGGTTTTGTATAAATCAGCCTGGAAAATAGAAGAAGTTTTCTCAACTGCTCAAACCCACCAAGAGGTTTTCTCTACAGGCCTGTGTGATAATTACTGGGAAAGAACCTTTCCTTTAACACCAGTTCAGAGAGGAGCTTTAAGGGGTGTGAGAAAAGAATTATTAGTATAGCCAGCACCTAATACTGATAAATCAGCCTCACTCCTTAACTCATGACATGCCAGACCATGAGACAATTCTGCACTGGGTAGTGCTTAAGCAGGCAGTGAAGAGAGCAGGATCCTGCTGTTGTGGCTGGCGAGCAGTCCCTTTATGGCAGACCTTCCAAGCCAGAGCTACAAGAAGATGTAGCACTGTTTTCTCCCTAGACTTGAACTGGGTACTATTTTATATGCTTCCCTGCACATGGTTCTCTTCTTGCTAACACCAGTGCATACTGGTCCAATGATGCTAATGACTGACATGGAGTCATTTGAATTTTAATACTAAATTAATACTGCAAAACTGATGGCCAGCCTTGTGCATGTGTTACTGCCATTGAAAGCTACTGATTGGTAGTGAGGATACTATGGGGAAGGGAAGCCAGACTGTAGCAAGCAGCTCCTCAGCTGCTGAAAAACCACTAATCCCCATTAAGTTTATCAAAAGTAGTTCTGAGATTGTACTGGGGAAAGGGGAAGATAATTTGGGGAGGGAGAGTGCCTTGTTTCTGTGTCCCCACAGCTGGCAAGGGCAAGTGATTCCTCCTGGCAGTGCTGTATCTTACAAGTTTGTTTTTCCTTCTGCCTGGCACGCCCCTGTGCTGTTAATGCCAGATAAAGTGTTGGTGGTAACAGCTGAAAATGACCCACTACATGTATTTTAACTTTTTACTATCCATATATTTTGCTCTCTCCACTCTGGTCCATGATGCTGTGTATGATTTGAACTTCTCACTGGCCAACCAATTTAGCATTTTCAACCTAGCATCCTGCTCAGCTCTCCATCACCAGACATAGGTGACCCTCAGCAGCAGATGGCAGTGGGAAACAGAGGAGGAGGAAAGCAGGTCTGGGAGGTAGCTTGAAAGGTGGAGGGGAAATGTGGAAATTGCAACAAGCTGCCTGAAAAATCTCATTGTGATTATTTTTGTTAAGTATTCACACATGCACACATGCACATGCACAACAGTATTTCACAATGTCAGTGTTAGCAAGTGCCTTTTCCCCTTGTTACATGTTCTCCTTGTGAAGCTGACTCTTGCCATTAAACTCTCATTTCATAGCAGTACATTTGATACCCATGAAATAAATATGTTAAAGTCACTTCAGTGACTGTATCTTCCACTGGAGCATGCTCCAGAGGCATTTACAACCAAAATACTTTACAGGAACTTGGGTTTAAGGATCATTTCTATTTTAGGTCCAGTTCTTCATAAGTCTTAAACAGTCAAATATAAACAGATGTCACAGAGATGTCTGGTATAAACAGATGGAAACGTGTTACTTTTAGTACCAACACCATGTGATTTTTGGTCAGAATAAGAGACAAGGATGTGCTTTCTCTGTCCTGCAGACAGCTGCCACTGCTTTGATGAGTTGTGGCACTGAGCTCAGTATGGTCATCTTTCACAGTGGGTTGGGTCTGGTAGGTAGATGTGTATAATGCTAGCCAGTGAGGAGATTCAGTGCATTAAGACAAAATGTCTCCAAATGAAGACCTAAAGTGCCCTTCCAAGCCCTGTCTAGTAACGATGGGCTCTGAAGGGATGTTGCCTGGCCATTGCTCCTCCTGTCTGCAGGAATGTAAGGGATGGCAGAGAACAGTCAAGAATTGTCTGGGAAGGACAACTGAAGGGCATCATGTGCTCCTTCCACATGGCTGCCCCACAGGAATTTGCTGGTGAGTTTTCTAGACAGACAGCTCTCCTTGCAAAGCTCCCTTGTACATAAAGCAGCTGGCTGGCTGTGACTAGACAACTTGGCAAAGCATCATGCTTCCCTCGCACTGGACTGCCACCAAACAGCTTCAGACATGCCTTTGGGAAAGACTGACAACTATTCCTTGTTAAAATACAGCAGTTACAATGTGAGACGGAGACACAGCATGTGAGCTGTTCTCACTGCTGCTCCACACTTCTAGAGGACAGGGTGCACGGAGAAGCTTCTTGTTTCTGTGTGTCCTCTACAAGCACTTCGTGTGGTTTAGTTGACACCATTAATTTTTCCACACTGCTCTTTCAAAGTTGAGCCCATTTTCTGACCAGGAGCAGTGCTTTTTATATGCAAAGGCATTAAAAGCATCCCTTTGTTAGATACACGTTAAAACAGGCTGGGTATAGGAGAGACAGCTGAATATGTACAGGCAACACTTGCATACAACTTGCCTACAGTCCACTTGCCCCTCACTTTACATCATATTCTGCCATTTGAAAGAGATGTAGGACAATGGCACTGCTGTCAGAGGGGATGCACTGTGGACACTGAGTGCAGAATATATCCTTGTGTGCCCAGCACACACCTGCTGCTGGTGTTCACATGACTACAGATGCACTTTGAGATGCAAGAACAGGGAAATACTGAATACAAATGAAAACACAGTACTGCACTAGAGATTTCAGATGAAGAGGGGCTGGAGGGAAAATTCCTTCAGTTAAGGCCCCTGCTGCTGAAGCTGTGCACCAAACATTGGGACAGTGCAAGAGCTAAGCAGAGATGTAACTCACTTGTAGGGAATGGTCTGCTGCCACTCTTAAGTGCTTTGTTGTCAAATCTGGTCTGAAAGTGGAAAATGCTAAGTATTTTATAAACGGTCTCATATTTTACAAGCAGTCTAGGGAGATGATGTCTGGCCACAGAGGTCTAGACAGCTTGGGAGTTTTGTCCACAGCAGACACATTTCCTCTTGGATTCAGCTCCTGGAAAATACAGCAAGCCAGTTCTCAGTGAGCATGCCTTCAACACCCCATGCTGCTGAAAATTAGTGGAGGACCCTAGAATGACAAGGCAATGGCAGACAAGGGCTTGTAAACACAAGTTATTCTGGCCATGCCCAGGAGATGTGTAGAAATAGGCCACATATGGCCAGAGGAAGGTGGGTGGTGGTAGGCATGTTTAAAAGGATATGAGGTGATGCTGAACACAGAACAAGTCCGATTACCATTTGTACTCTCCTGCACTTGATTGGTGGTATTTACACATACCAAAGACCTGGTCAGTAACTAAAGTATTTATTTCAGTTATTTATAAATCCACTGATTGACCATTCAGCTTCAACTAGAGCATTTTGCCTCTGGAGACCTGGGCTACTAGATCAGAGTTTTTGCCCTTGCTGTCCCAGGCTCTCCTTAAGGCGACTGGCTGAGACTGAAGCTGCCTCAGAGCCCCCAGCGCATCGTCTAAGGAAGGGACTGGGTCCCCAGAGGGCACAGAGCACATCCGCAGAGTTTGGCTACTGCAGTGAGCCATCCACAACCTGACAGCTAACACAATTCAGACTCCAAGAAACTATGTGCCACAAGCTCCTCTTAGAGGACTGGGATTACCCTCCCTTTCTGTGGTCCGTGCACCAAACTGACACCTTTCTAAGCAGTCAGACATTTCCAAAGGGCTCCGAGAGCCAGCCGTGGAGTCATCAATCCTTTCCACAACCCATCCACCCTCCTCTGTCTTTCCCTCTCCCCTGCATAAAAAAAAAAAAAAAAAAAAACCAAAAAAAAAAACAACAAACCCACAAACCCTCTGTGATGTTGCTCATCCCTGCACCAGCAACCCTGAATCAAGCAGATGGTCATTTCTTCTTGGCAAACCACTGGAAACCCAACAGTTAGAAACATCTGTTGGGCCATGACAAATTGCAAAATAACAAACAAGCAAACAGAAGGAAATGTGCATATAAAAAAATTTTTCTCCTGGCATATTGTCAATAAGCTGCAATTTTTCCTTCCACAGGGAAGGGATTTAAGTTCTTGAATGACATGATGCTTGGAGATGTAATTTCTTTTTCATTAAAAAAAACCCCAACCAACCAAAAATTTCCAACCCCAAACTCACAAACTGGTGTTAACAAAACAAGGTAAAAGGACAAATCTCCCAACAGTGACAACCAAAAAATAAAGGTACACGTCAGCATTTGTAATCAAAAACTACTACATACTGTACTTGGGAAGTCTTCTGGGAAAAGATCATTGGCATCTAGTGAGGACATCACTAAAAGTCTTGTGCATATGATATGTATGAGACAATGATGCCATAGGAGGGTGGATGGACAGACCCTTAGGAAACTGTCACTCACAAAACTGTTCCATGACAAGAGAAAATAAGAGATATAAAAAGGATTGGTTTTCCCCATCCCCACCCCCCCAAGCATTACAGATTCCTTCTCATTTTTCGGAAACAGCTTCTTCTAAACTCAGTTTATCTGTTTTTGTTTTTTTTTTTTTTTAAAAAAAAAATGTCTTCAGCTTTTGAAGAAGTCCATCAATTTCTGAGATGCACTTGGTTCCACAGCACCAAAGAGCTTCAGCTCTCTCTCCCCTTTGGTTTGTTAACAGGGGCTTTTGGGAAGGACTGCTGGCTGCAAGACACTCCCAGAGCTGCCCATCCCATGTGAGAAAGAGAAGTGCTACTCATGACCTTTTTTTGCATTCATCTTCTTGAAAAAGTCTCATTGCTCCAGAGGTGTCTGGGCCCGGGTGCAGCAGCCTTGTGCAAGAGGAAACAGATGAAGCTGCTCTCTCCTGTTCCTCTGGACACTCTCATTGGTCTTGGAGCCCTTTTCAAGAATGCAATTGCTTTATTATTATTAAAAATATTTAATAGCTGTGTTTTTTTTTTTTCAAAATAGTTGTCTTTTTTTGTTCCCTTTTTCCATTGCTTAAATTCTAGAAGCTCTTGGCGACTTCTCATTGTTGATGACAGGGCATTTCTTCCTGTTGCCATGATACTCAGAGCAGCTGCCTGTCTCTGGTCCATGAAGAACACTCAAGAACTGGAGCTCGGACATACAGGGGCAAAGGGGAGCAGGGCCTCAAGGAAGAGGAACAGGACGACACATAGCTATCAAACCTCCACAGACTGAATTTGGTTCATCTGTGCTCTCATCACCTGGATACTGTTCAGAATTTTCTTCTGGTGTCCTGCTAAAGTGACCCCAACTCGCAGAATGTCCCTTTGGGAGGAAAAGAAACAAACACTGCATCAATATCAGAAGACGTTTTCTCACAGCAGAACAAGCCCACATATGAGCACAGTGTATAGGGAGCTGAAGCCTCCACAGATTTATTCCATAAATGCAACAAATGCATGTAAACCTGGTGAAACCTCCCCTCTTTCTCGTTGACTCTTCCTGACTTATTCTCCCAGTCTTTGTTTTTGCTACCTACCTGCAGCACTCCCCATGTATTGGAACCTCAATGGAGAGTGTGAAACCAAATACCACAGGCTCTGCTCATTGCTTGTGAGTGGATTTGCCTTAGGTATTCTACCCTTGTATTGTTTTGTTTCTTTCTTTGAATGTTTGGACTCTCCCATTTTGTGACACAGTAACCCATTTTTTCCATCCCTGTAGACATATGAACAGGATGTGTTACACCCTCATCAGTGTCTATCTCACTCCCTCATCAACTGCAGAGGATGGCTGTTCTTGCTAGTTTTGCTTTGATCTGATGAGGCCATAAAGTGATAAACTTTTGCTACTTATCCTCTTTGCTAAATCATGGCAGTCTAATTTTTTCACTCCTTCTATTTTTAATAGATATTAGACAACTGGGAAAAATAAAGGTCATGCCAAGAGCATGAGTGTGACTCTGCATTGGTCCTTTCTGTGATCACTCCAGCTGAGTTTGCTACTCATCTCCCTCTTGGTGGCTAAACCTCAGTCATGAATGCTGATCAGGGAATGGATGGCATTCATGAGACATGACCCATACCTGTGATTCTAAAGATTTTCAGTTGCCTTTTCTTCTTCTTTGAGTGTTAGAAACAGACTTTTAAGAGGAAGTGTGACAAACCCCTTGCCTGTTTTAGAGTGGAAGTCAGTGGGCAAAGAAAGGTAAACAGGAGCTCCAAGGAAAGGTGGAAAAAAAATTCCTCTAGCATGAGTAGCACATGAGTCTATATGTGTGCTTTAGAGCTTGCTTTAGATCTCATCTCTTTGGTCAAATAGAAGGAGCATGAAGAAGGAAAGCTGGGCATGGGGCTATGACACAGATTTACACATTCTAGCTGGTGGTAACTGCTTAGAGACCATCATTGTAGCATGCTTCAGACCGTTCCCTCTGAGATTGGTGTAAGAGTGAATATCCAAGACAGGTTTGCTGCTGCCCAGACTCCTGCTCAGCAAAGCAACTGGAAACCTGCTAGCACACTACACAACTCTGGCACCCACAGTAGTATCCTTCACAGTGATTGCTTTTCTTGCTGCAAGGGCTTTCCATTCCCTCCTCTCCCAGCCAGATGTGCTGAGCTAGGGAATTTTCCTCCTTGGACACATCTGGCACTTTGACTTCAGCTTTTGTTCTGGTTAGTAACAAAACCCAAAGTCTTCACTCATGTCTGTAAGCCAGAATAAGACTGTGGCCCTGCACGGCCTTGTGCTTCCTAAGCTTTCTGCCCTGGACATAGATCCTTTAGTGGCCCAGCCTGCAGACAAACCAGTGAGAAACCTTTCAGTTTTAGGTCAGTGTTGAAACCATGTGGATTTGATGAACTGAATCAGTCTTCAGTAACCATTTACACTTTGCTGGCTATCCAAAATTTGAAGAAAACTGTTTCATAGCAATTAAGCTCCACTTAATCATCTACTTCTGCAAAGACCAGCAAACATTAGATGGTGGTTACAAGTAATGTTGCAGCATGATTTCTGAAGGAAAAAGGACTTGGAGTGTCCTTCTCTCTATTACTACGCCCAGCCAAGCAGGTAAGAAATGTGGAAGGGAGGCTTGTCAAAACTGGTGGGGTCACGAGCTGAGGATACTCGTTATGATTGTGATGAAGGTACTAGGAGAGGATTTGGAAGATAGTGTGAGGGACATGGTAAGGAACTGGGAGAAGTGGCATTTAAGGAACACTGAGCATGTCTGTGAAAAAACAGACTTCATTAGTTGGACTGCCTGCAGAACTGTTTGCTGTTACTGTTATTTGTATTGAAAATAGCAAAACCTAGGCAGGCTTGGGTTGTAGTGTGGGTGTGACGTTCCCGTTTGGCCAAGGTTACTCTTCCCTGTCCTTCAGATTTTATGGACCTTCTTTCCATTCCATGAACACAGCCTATAGTGTGCCAAAATCATTCCCAGTGCCTTGGGATTGTACCATAGTTGTACTGAAACAGAATTTCCATGTGAATTTCCTGGCAGCAAATAAGAACAAAAAGCCAGAAAAGGTCAGTTTGGCTGTTTGCATAAACAGATTCTGACTCATTGGTAGATTTAAAGTCTGGAATTAGGCAGCAAATCCCAAAACATTCCTGGTTACCAGGCACAGAGATATCATAGCCCTTATAGATCACTTTAACGCTTGGTGCTTTCTTAGATGGTTTCTAAAGCTAACTGCAACCAGCCACAAATCTTTCACCAGAAGCACCAAAGCCCCAGCTAGCCCCAAGGGATTTCAAAAACCACCATAAATGAATTTCAGTTGAATGCTTTCTCTGAAGAACTTGGTAAGATTTTGCCACTGACAGATGTTTTTAGTGGATGCAGGACAATTCAGAACAAACTTAAAACCATCTGGACTTTCAGATGCCTTTCATAGGCGGAAATTTGTTTGCAGCATGCTTGTCTCCATCACCATTACGTCATACATCCAAGAGGACCGCAGAGTCTAAAAGTGCTCTTGAGTGGCTGAAGAATTGTCTGGTGCTGGCCTGAAATCTCCATTTGTTCTATGCTGGGGTTTTGGAGACCCTTGTGGGGGTTTTAGTTTTCACAGTGGGGACATGCAGTGTGATAGTGAGGAAATTAATTCTGCAGATACAGAGCAACAGACAGACACACAGTTTGGAAACAAGACAGACCCTGCAGAACAGAGTAGTTCTGCAGAAACTAAATAGACTAAAAGTAGGTCCACAAAGCAACAAGTTCTATAAAAGTAAAACTACATCATGTGAAAATAAAAACTAATTCAATAATGACCAATTGTTATTAAGCTACTGAGACTTTTCCTCGTGCTTTGGGACTAGAAGCCTAGGCACTTACTCTACAGTCATTTGAGATACTACATCAAACGTGGTGAAGCCAGCACTGGCAAAGCTCTCCTTGTACTGGCTCATCTTGATGGCATCCAGCCATTCATCCACAGTGTTGAAGCTAGTATAATCCGGGATTGTGCGGTCAAGTAGGGGGAGGTTCATCCTGAAAACAGAAATGGGGAATGAGCAGAGCAAACAGTGGCAAGTACCATCCATCAGCTGGAGGGACCTAGACTAGCATCATTCACAGTGCCTGCACCACACCATATTAAGAAGTACCACCCAGAAAGCACTCTATTCAACTGAAGGAAGGATTGTGTAGAGCATCAGAGAAGTCTTTCTGGACCGGTCTGTACAGGAGAGGTAGGAGTCATCAAAGACAATGGGATGCAGCTCTAAAATCCTGTTTGTACAACGGGGACAGTGCTTTCCACAAGTTGGTGTATCCCTACCCAGTCCAGGGAAACATACTACTGCCTGAGAAAGCCTTATTTGCTTCCATTGCAGGAGAGATTGGACTACCACACCATCCAGAAATCACATGTATGTGAAACCGAGATGCTCCTCTAACTGTGCAGAGTACACTGTCCAACTCAAGCTGTCTGTGTTCACCAGATCTAACCTGTCCAAGAAGAGGGACCAGAGTGACCTTGACATCTTTCAATAGCCTTCCTATAAAGGACCAAACAACACAGACCAAGCTGCCTCTAAAACAGCTAGCCTAGATAGATGCAAGGATGGTCCCACCAGGACACAAAGGACAGCAGATCTGCAATTAGAAGCCAAAGGACAAGAGGAAGGCAGAGATACATACCCAGAGGAGAGAGGGGCCATGGCTTTCAGGCTGTTAGGATTTCGAATCATTTTATCTAAGGTGTTGACAATTTGCCCAAATTTGGGTCTGTGGTTTCGATCCTTCTGCCAACAGTCAAGCATCAGCTGGTGCAGCGCATTTGGACAATCCATAGGTGGTGGCAGCCGATAATCCTGCTCAATAGCATTTATCACCTGCAAGAGGAGAAAAAGAGATCAGTACAGTTGCAGTAAAACCTATTTAATTTATAATGTTCCTTTTCTTGCATCCTAACGGTGACTGGCATGTCCAGCCATACTGCAGTGGGGCTGCTCTGCTTACACCTACTGTTGCCTATCATCTCAGCCACCACCACACACAGCCCTCTGCATATCATGTTGTCCTGTGAGGCAATGCCAGCTTTGCTCAGCTGATGTACAGCCTTTCTGACTACTTGTGATGAGCCATGCCCATCAGTCTGCTAATATGGGGAAAGAGAGCATCCCTGCTACCTTGACAAGGTTATGTGAGCCCACACCTCCAGGCATGAGAAAGGTGAGTCAGAGAGAAGGGTTCATGCTTTTGGACAGGTACACAGCACAACACAACAGTGCACAGGGAGGAAAGCATCCCCATCCAATGAAGGGTCTGCTTGTGAGTTACAGACAGGGGAAGCTGCCCCTGTGGTTTCCTTCCTCCAGTGGTGCTTTCTACTCCTGCCAACAACCCACTCCTTCCAGGTGACAGGCTTGTGCCATGGGACAGAGCTGGGTGCGCTGAGCTAGCAGTAAGAGCTGGATCTCCCCACAGTCCTGTGCACATGCAAACGGATGCAGACAGTGAGGAGGACCAAGACCTTGGTCAGCAGAGCCAGACACAGGAGAACTTTGCTTTGGCATGCAGAGGAGAGTTGCAGCACACCTTGCCTAAGCCATGCTGCAGCTCTGCAGTCCAATGCAAGAAGGCTTTGGCTGCTGCCTGTTTAGGCTCTCCTTACTGCATCACATGACCTGGGAATATGTCTGGTCTTGTAACGGTCAGTGGAAATCACACATTCCAAAGGGCTAGAGGATCTTCAGGGGGAACCCCCATCTCACTGTGCACCTGTAGCCTTCCATCCTCTCCTGGGTAACCAAGGAGGATGGAGCTGCACAGCTCTGACAGAGGCATGTGACAGGCAGGCTTCTCCTACCTTCTTGGCCTTATGCATCCTACGGTGGTACACACAGCATGGGCACTGAAAGGTGAGTGGAAGGAGCCTTGGACACTAGAAACAGGCTTGTGCATGGCAATAAAAAACAGAAGTGAGGATAAAAAACAGAACCGAGGATACTGCAGTAACTGAAATCAGGGGTGGCATTTTGAAATGACCAGGTCTCCACAGGGATGATAGAAAAGGGGAGTGAGATGGACAGAACCTCCCTCAGGGATCCAGAGGAAGGACCTTGATGTGTCTGGCTATTCTCACCATGTGATCAAGACTGCTATGGCTTTGTTCAGCCATGTCTTCAATACTTCCAAAGACAGAAATCTGCCCGGTGGGCTACCCCAGGGCTGTACCACTCTCCTGGGGAAGGACTGGCCATGCCCATACAGCAGCGTGGTGACTACACTATTGAGCAGGAAGGATACATAGAGAAAATTGCAGCTGGGACTGGGAGAGCAGCAGGGAAAGTTGGTAGAGAGGAGACGCTGCATGTGCTGTGGCAGTAGAAGGCGGCTGCTGCTGTTCCAAGAGAGGGTAGGTAGTAGATCCTTGCCAAGCAATCCAAGGTGTAAGGTGGGGCATCTGGCAGGGTTTAAGATGGACTGTGGCTTCAGGCAGAGAATGGATTGGGAGAGTGCTCCAGACACTGATGTGCATGGCCAAGGTGCTTGGCAGGCTGACCTGAGACAGATGGGGGCTGGCACTGCTGCTGGCAAAATGTGCCAGATGGAGAGAGTCCTCCCTTCCCGCTGCTCCCCAGCTGGATATGATGGGGTCCCACTGAGCCTGTGAAGGTCCAACCTAAGACACTGCTGGTGTGCTTTGTGCAGCTCTTGGCTTCTCCCAAGAAGTGCAAGCTGTCCCCTGTCCCAGCTCTCTGGATGGCAGATCTATCCGAGACAGAGGGGAGGAGAAGCAAGTTGGGAGCAGGGCTGAGGAGGGTCATCACATAAGCATCAAGTGCTCATCTTTGGCATAAATGGAACTGTTTCCTGACAAGCCACCTGCCTTGTTGCCATCAGACATATCCACTCTCTGTCTCCTCTTCTCCCCCAGCCTCCCCAGGTGCTTACACCCTGGGGTCAGGAAGGCTATTCTGCAGTGAATATCCACGATGCATTCATTCACAAGGAGGACCAGCTACAATTAAATGGTGACAGCTTCTAGGACACAGTGTCCTGTGGCAGAAGAAGGGAAACAAGAGGCTGGGACAGGCACCACACAGCAGGTTGTGCTAAGGAGACAGGCATGGGCTCTGCCATCCGGGCTGACTGAATCAGTGCTGCCTGCAGCAGGAGAAACCATTGAGGGAAGAGGTCCAGGGAAAGAGCACAAGGGAGAGGGCAACAGAGGGCTACACATACAGAGGGATGCTAAGGCAGGGAGAAAGGCAGTGACACCTGACTGCTGGAACTGCTTGAAACTGCAGGCAATAATGAAGCCTTAACAGGAAGGGAATGGTCCTTTCTGACATGGACATACTCCTACTCCTTTACCTTTGGCTCAGAAAATTGATGCAAAGACTTTTCTGGTATGCTAGGAGCTGGGGTAAGGCCATGAACAGCCAAAGGTGCTTAAATATCATGTATCCACTCCAGGCATTGGGGACTCACTTGAATAAATTCCCACCAGGCACTAGGGAAGAAATTGTCCCACTCTGGAGAACCTTGATGTGGCATGGATGGAGTTGTATTGACTTGAAAAAGGTCTGATTTGCCATTGGAGTGGGAAGAGTTGCAGAAGACAGGTGGGAGCTTGGTTCTCGCTCTTTTCCTGTAAGGCAGGGTTTTTTCAGGAGCCCACAGGATGATGGAGATGGAAGTGGCAGTAGGCTTCCAATGGAATGCCCAGGGGCAGCTCTGAAACCAGATGGAAGCCAGGCAGATGCTGCAACATGCAGGTTTGCAATATCCAGGCTTGCAGCAGGGGGGGAGGACAAGCTTTCTGTGCACAAAGGATCTACCCTGGACCTTGGTGTTAGATCCTGAGGGCTCACAAGGTGAAAACCACATGAAGAAGGGCAGGTCTTCAGAGAGTCAATGTTGTAAGAAACCTGCGAGGTCCACACCAAAGGGGTCTTCTGGACACACACGTGCAGATGTAGCACTCTACATGGCACTCATTGCTACTGGATGGATGGGCTTCGACCACCCAGGTATCAGGTTAAGAGAAACAGGGAGAATTGGATTGCTATGGTGAAAGTGTGGACTGCAGACACAGGTCACCCTTGCATGGAGGCAAGGACTCATGGAAACTGCCTGGATCCCAGAGAGCAAGGAGTGCACATAACAGTTCCACCTAAATTAGAGGAGTCATAGAGTATTTAAAATTAAGCATGTTCCAAAATACCTTGTGGTTTTGGCTTCTAGCTGTGTACAAGTTGCTTGGCTTCTTACACATCACAGCCCAAGCTTGCCATGGATGATCAATTAGCTTGCCATCTAGTGGAAGACGTCCTTGACTATGGCAGGGGGGGTTGGACTGGATGACCTTTAAAGGTCCCTTCCAACCCAAACCATTCTGTTACTGTGTAACAGACTTTTACCAAATGCCTGTGGTCTCCTGCAGATGAAGATCTGCCTGCTGCTCCAGGAGCTCTCTGGTCAGTGGCAGCATTTAGTTTTCCATCCGCCTGCTTCCTTTCCTCCTGGGCATCTGTCTACCACCTCCGAAAGTGTTTACAATAACCGTGTCCTACTACAGTGGGTATTGTACAGTCCCTAACCTCTGCCACAGCATCACAATGGGACCAGAACAAAAGTGAAATAATCCCCATTACTTCTTCCAAACATCTTGGACACATCTCCCATGACAGAGAAGGCTCCGGACATGCCACAGGCTGGATCTATCAGTAGCCATGCTTTGGCCTTGCAATGCTCCCAATTTCAGTGTTTCTGCTCCTTGTTCTTAACAACTCACATCTTGATTGGTCATATCCCAGTAAGGCCGCTCGCCATACGACATCACCTCCCACATGACTATTCCATAGCTCCACACATCACTGGCTGATGTGAATTTTCGGTACTGAATTGCCTCAGGTGCTGTCCACCGTATTGGGATCTTCCCACCCTGCAGGAAAAAAAACAGAGAGGATGGTTAGAGAAAGAGCAAGAGCAACTGAAAAAGATGAGTGTCCAAAAGATTTGCCTCCGATACTCTAGTAAAATCCTAGAAGGAAAGAACCACAGGGCTATCCCTAACTGTACATCAGGATGGCTGTGGCTTGTCTAGCCACGTCCGGGAAGCTGTCAAGGATGATGCTTCCCCCCATTTGTCTCGTGACCTGTCCCAGAGCTGCACCACTCTCTTGGGGAAGAAGCTTTTCCTGTTATTCACCTTGAATGTCCCAAGCCACAGTTCTGTCTATTGCCCCTTATTATATCATCTAGTACCACTGCAAAGAATTTGGCTCCATCTTCTTCATAACTGCCCTTCAAGTACTGCGGATCACTTATAGCTGTTCCCTTTGTCTCCTCTTCATTATATTAAACAAGCCCAGCTCCTTTCACCTGCCTACTGCTTATACTGTCTTTGGCATGACAAAATGCCCATTGTGTTAGTAGGGTCTTTTGTAGAAAAACGAACGCCTATAAATGTAGACAAATTCAAAATTATTTCCTCTGAATCTCCCTCCATCCTTTTGCAGTCACCTGGCTATCTCCAGAGCATAATAAAATTAGAACACCATCCTCTTCAGCTTTCTACATCTGTAGACTTTTTGAAGTCAGTGATATATCATTTCCTTGAGTTGAAGTCCTCCCGTGTCAGTCTGTTTGTTGATATATACATGATCCAGAAGTTTTTGATACTGCCCATTTCTGGAGACAAAGGCGGAGTGAACATCTTCTTTAGAATGGCATGCGCAGTGACTGGTGGGTAATAGGATGAACTAGGTGGGCACTGAGGTCTCCATCATCCTGCTGGGCAACAGCAGCTCTGGAGAAATCAGGACTCTCCACAGAAGAGTTATGCACCAAAGTGCATAAAAGTGGCATACACAGCCTGAGGCCACAGGGATTGCAATGCTCTGCTTAAGCCCTTGCAGCCTCCTGATTTTCTAGCAGGGCCTTTGGACCTGAGCCATTCACAATTCAAGAGACCTTCTGAAGGGAAAATCTTCCCCTGTGCTTAAAAATAACCAAATTTGTCTGTGTTTTGTGGCTGTAAGAAGATTAAGGAACATTATATATCATCAATGAATAACTACCATGTCTTATTAAGGGCCTCCTAGGACTTAATAGGACTCAGACCCTATACATGCTAGAATAACGAAAAAATTATAATGTTCCTTAATCTTCTCACAGCCACAAATCTCAGACAAAATACTTTGTTTTCCACAAGAGAGGGAGATCATGCATTCCATACCAAACACGATGTCCTCTCCATCAGGCACACTCTTAGCAGAGGTCCTGACAAGCAGCGGATTTAAAAAATGGAAAAAAAAAAAAGAAGTCTTAAAGTAGAAATTACAGACTGTGTATATTTGGAGGATCCTTGTGGGAACTCACTTCAGTGAGGCCTCCCACCTGTCCAGTGATCTGACCCAGAGCTTCACCACCCTGTTTGAGGAGATTTTCCTATGGTCTGGCATGAACCTCCCAAGCCATAGCTTGTGGCTGTTGTCCATCCATGGACACAAGGTCTTTGAGGCAATTATAACAAAAAACACCCATGCATCTTGGGATTTTTGAGGATGGTACATTTTAAAGAGGAAGATAATATTACTTCTGGTACTCTGCTATAGTGGGTGCACATATTCTATCATTATAGATACTATACATCCTGCTACAGTGCCCACAGTTCAAGAAGAATAAATTAGAGAAGACAGAGAGAAAAGCTACAGGTACGATAACAGGAATAGAAAACAGCAGTAAACACCAGAAGCTTCCATGTATTTAGCTTAACAAAGGGGAAGTTAATTTGATGTAAGGATCACGTTGTGAAAAATAAATGTTGCTAGTGTTTCTAGAAGCCATAGAATGTCTGTATAAGATCAAATGGTTGATGTTTGAAGCTACACAAGTTCAGATGAGAATAAATGTGCACATTTTTGCGTATTTGTTAAGTATTCAACTACTGTTACAATTCACTAACAGACAACTCAGCACTGGCAGTTTCAAAAGATCTGGGAAAGATGATTTCCTACAGATCATGCCCCCTCTCTATCAACATTAATTTCCAAGAAGTCCTGTCATAGGTATTGTATATAAGCATTGATCCTGTAGCATCATTGCAGAGCAATGCTGTACAGCTTTGCAAACAATGGTATTTATGAGAACTCTTGGCTGCAATCTTACTGAACCACAACAAAGTATTCAAATTATCCTTTGGTCCCACTGCACGTACTGTAGCCTGAGACAGGCCATGAATCCTCAGTGGCACTTGTGTCACTGGCATCGTGGTGTTCCTGGGAAGCTGTTACATGATTATGGAGCCATTTCTGGGGATGTTTCTCTGTCTAACTCAGACAGACTCTCTGGAAGATCAGTGTCTAGTACTGCAGGGCTTCACCCAGCACTCATCCATACTTCAGCTTATCATTCCTGAGGTTAAGTCCACGACATGACATCAAAAAGTATCACAGCCTCTTGGACAGCAGGGTGGCACAATTGGACCAGTGATGGTAAGAAACCTCCACACTTGATGCCCTGGCAACAAATCTGTCAGGGCAGCACGTCAGAGGCCCCCCAGCTGGGTCATGCTGGGCAGGTATAATGTGTCATCCCAACTAAGGGCTTCATCAGGGATGTGTATATGCTTGCAGAAATGTTTGGAAGAAGGCTTGGTTATCCATAGGAATGACTATCAGGCCTATCAACAGCCACTGGACAACTGGACAGAACCTCACAAGAGAAAATATTCCTTGGTTCATTTTATTGGTCTTTCCTCTCTGGCTCCTTATTTCTATTGTTGGCACCCTGAAAAAGTGCTTCCCAAGTCAAAGGGGGATCTTTCCCTTTCCCTCTATCTCCCTGACTCCTTCCTTCACCACCCATCCCTCCCCCTCTGGAAGAGCAGCTTTACCAGTGCACTGGTGTAGGTGGGATCAGAGGTGTCGTCCTCCAGAAAACGGGAGAGGCCAAAGTCAGACACTTTGCAGACCAGGTTGCTGTTCACCAGGATGTTGCGGGCAGCCAGGTCTCGATGCACGTAGTTCATATCGGCCAGGTACTTCATGCCTGCCGCGATGCCCCGCAACATGCCCACCAGCTGGATCACTGTGAACTGCCCATCGTTTTGCTCAGGGGAAGAGAGGAAAAGAGTCCACATGAAAGGAGCAAATTCACAGCCTGCCATGGCCAGACAAACAGCCAGTAGCCTCTTTCTGTACTTCATGTCAAGACACACCTATGCCACGAGTATGTAAGTTCCCTCTCCAAGCAAGAGAGCGGAGAGTGGAGAGCTCACAGGGGCTGGAAGTTGCCCTCACACACCCTGTGGGCATCACTACAATGGTTGTTGTTATCCAAAGGTGGCAGATCTGCCACACCTTGCACAGGAGGGTTCAATAGGGGCAATCTATTCCTATCAAGTAGGTATTCTCCCTTCAACACAGTGAATTATCCATTTCAAACTCAGACCTATAAATATTTTGACAGAGCAGCCAGGGGTCAAGTCCTGTCCCTCCACGTCCAAAGAGACAAAGTTTGTACATGCATCTGTGGGCATGCGTACAGGTAGGCACAGTCTTTTGCTAGTATGAGTGGACAGACACGCATAACAGATGACAGCCTTGGTGCCACCTCTACCTCTGTTCCTAAGACATAGACCTCTGGACTGTGCAGCAGCTGCCCCAGTGGCAGGGGATGCTGGTCAGTGAAGGACACTGTTATATTGGCACAGGAAAGGGAACCTTCCCTTCCAGTCCTCCTCTGGCCCAACACAATCTCTGGAGTTGCATGCTCCTGGGATCTCATACCCGCAAGAAGGAGTCCAGTGAGCCATTTTCCATGAACTCAGTAATGATCATGACTGGTGAACTCTTGGTCACTACCCCCTCCAGGTGGATGACATTGGGGTGGTCAAACTGCCCCATGATGCTGGCTTCACTCAAGAAGTCCCGTCTCTGCTTCTCCGTGTAACCAGACTTCAGGGTCTTGATGGCCACAAAGATCTCTCTTTTGCCAGGAAGCTTGAGATGCCCACTGCACACCTCACCAAACTCCCCTGTGGACAGAGGGAAAGAGTTAGGTCTTGTCAGACTCCCAGACCTCTGCCTTTCTCCCAGAAGTACCCTGCTCCCACGGACTTCAGCTGTGCCCACTCTGCATGACTCTGAGCTGACCACCCACCCTGTGATCTGTGCTTCCTCCCTCACTCCACACCAAAGACCTCCCTTCAGGTGGACTTATCACTGCTGAGGAGCAACGGACATAGGACTATATGCACACGAGAACTCCTTGTCTCCAGCACTGGATGTATTTGCTCCTCCAGCACTGGACCACCTTGCTTCTGCTAGTCTAGGTTGGGGCTAAGGGTAAGACCTTGCTGACATTAGTCTTCTCAGTGCATGTAAGGCTAAACCCTCACCAAAGCCTGAGACCACAGAGGAAACTGTGCTGCTGAGGGCCAGCCAGACATTCACAGTTCACCTACCTGCTCCGATCACCTGCTCAATTTTGACACAAGAGATATCGATTTCTTTTGCAAATTCCCTGACAGCCTCATTGGGATCTTCGTAGGTGAACGGATCAATATAGATCTTCATCCCTGGAGTCACTGCATAAAAGTGAGGAAGAAAGTCAGACAGACAGATGCAAATAGAAGGAGTGATGGCTGGCACCAAGGAAAAGAGAAATCTATTATTGGGAGGGTCTTTTTTACCTCAGTACATCGCATAATCAAGGGCATGAAGCAGACACAGAAAAGTAGTTTGAGAAAGAACATGCAAAGCCATGTTTGCCCAGGACTATTAAAGCTGGATTCTAATGAATATTGGCCCATAAATCATTGTTGGGGCAGTGGAGGGCTGCATCATTAGCTAGGACTGCAAACTGTGACAACAGAGAACCACCCATCCTCTGAAGCAGGATTTGGCTTTAGCACATCCAGAGGACAAGCAAGAGAAGCATCTGCTCTCAGATGGTGCATAGGCACACCAGTGTGACATCACACTCACCATGCTGCAACGCTACAAGAAGACCATTTACAGAGACCACAGATCTGCCCCGCTGACCTTCTCTGCATGCTACTTCCACATCAGCACACCATTCTGTCAGAGGCATGGTAAAGTGGAGGAGACCTGGGCTCAGCATTCAAGACAGGAGACAGTGAAGGTCTGCCTTGGGTTGTAAACTGAGGCACATGCTGCTCTTGGTTCTCTACACAGATATCTATAGAGGAGGAAGCTCTAGGTGCTTGGTAGTACTGACACAGCCACCAAGACAGATTGACTCCTCCAAGGGGGTGTCTGTGGCCCTTTCAGGGGCAGTGCAAGCAGGACAGACAGTCCAGTCTGACACTTGTTCTGCCTGAGGCTGGGTTCTCTGTTGGTAACCTCAACACGGCCAAGACAAGCTGTAGGGGACACTGGGGAAATGGCAAAAGCCAAGCTTTTCCTGCTAGGTAGCCCAGAATACACAGTGATATGCTTATGTGAAAGGCAGTGGCCATGGGACCTGGTGAGGTTGGACTGCTGATGCCACAGTGCACACTACCTATACCATGGGACAGCTCTTACCTGCAGTCCTGCAGTTCTCCCCTTTCTATACTCATTTTGCTGGCCCCTGGCTTGCTCCAAAATTGGAGGTATTTGGAGAGCAGAGCTCACAGCTCACTAAATAAAGGAGCCCAACACAGAACCAGAGACATGACTCCCAGCTCCACATGTAAGATTCTGGTAGGATTCAGGGAAATTGCTGCAATGCTTACAGCCTCCCTGTGCCTTGGCAATTTGCTAACCAGAACCTCTCCACAGCAATCACTGCTGGGGAGCTGAGCAGAGACTGTGCCTTGGACTGGTGTCTTCAGTGAGGATGTGGCTAAAAGACACCCCAGGCCTGTTATCAGTTCATCTGCATCCAGTGGCATTGAGCCTGTTCCAACACTTGTGAAGGCACAGCTATTAATGCCATTTCAGCCTGAAGCTGTCATGTTACACACCAGACCCTGGGAAAAAGTGTGAATGTATGTTTACACACGCAGCATGGACTGACAAACAACTGAGAGTTGCATTTACATAATTTTCTTGAAGAGTGTAATTTTTCCTGGTAAGTTATAGCAAGGCAGCCAGCACACTGCTGCTTTGGCACAGAGCTGCAGTTAAGTGTAAAAATGTTTCCTAAGTAAATGCAGAAGCAACAGAGTACTGTACTGAAAGACTCTTGATGTTTTCCATTCTCTGAACAAGACTCAGGTCTGTGCAGGACCAAGGAATAAAAAGGACAGAAATCCTGAAGCTGCAAGTGTAACATGAGGCAAATAACAACTGAGAATTGAACAAAGCAGGGTTATAGCAACAGGTCTCTAGTGAGGGAAAAGAAAGACATTTCAGAGGGCATGCTGCCAGGGGTTAACGAGGGGAAGAAGGATGCACTGGGGTGAGACAGGGTGCACAGACAGGTTGAGAGCAGGAATGTGCTGGATGTGAGGGAGTGCCTTGCAGTACACAGGGATGTTGGAAGAGGGAGGCTGCAAGAGAGGGCATGTTATCTTCTGCATTATATACCTATATATATCTCATATCTACTAGGATTCTGGAAGCACTGGAGTGGGCTCTAGTAAAAGCACCATAAGGTATGTGGGTTCCTGCAGAAGGACAGCACTCTGCAGGACATGGGTAGGTTGGGAAAGGGGTCTCACTGCTGCCCACAAGCTGGGCAGAGCTCAGGAGTCAGAGCAGCCAGACAAGGTTTGGTGGCAGGGGCTGCACTACAGAAGAGGGTGAGGCTTCAGGGGTGTGTGTTGGATGTCACAGGGGTTTGTAGAGCATGCATAGGTGTTCACTGCACGGCTGGCATCTGACAGCATGCGGGTCTGGAGAGCACAGACTCTATGAGGTAGGGTAGGGATCTAGATCACAGGGGACCGGTGGGGGATCTAGGCAGCATGGAGGTCCTCCTGTCTACACATGCACATGCCTGCCAGGCCTGAGCCCTCCCCACACGCCGCAAAGAATGAGTGAACAAGAACACAAACCGAAGAGAGAGCGGACCCCCAGGCCTGGCGGGGGCCCACGGTACGTACTGTGGCCACTGGTATAGTGCTGCAGCTTGTCAGTGTACTCAGAGTCAGCACGCTCAAAGCCCCGTCTTCTGGAAAGAAAGGGAGTCCTGAGCACCAGTACAGGTCCATCAGGGCTGAAAGATGCACTGCAGGGGCATCTCTTTCCCTCTTCACTTTCCTGTCTCCATCCTCCCCTCCCCTAACCCTGCCACCCTCTGTGTCCAGTTGCCATCCCCTTGCACAGCCCCAGCCCTGGGTCATGCGCTCAGACTGACCTACCTGTTGCACACAATAGCGATGACAACTACAGCAATGAGGAACACCAGTCCTGCTGCGGAGGAGCCGATGATGAGTGGCAGTTTCTCCTGGACACTGGTCTGATACTCAGCTGGCATGCAAGGAAGAGAGAACAGGTTAGTGCAGCACAGGATGGGTCTACACTAACAAGTTCATCAAGACCAGAGCACGTTCCTGAACAATGCCCACGTTCGCATGGCTATTGCTAATGGGCTTCCTGGCATTGTTCTGGTCCAAGAGAGATAGTGCTCTCTCAGGCATGGCTGGGGTTGGCTATGACAGGGGATGTGCTCCAGTAGGAAGGTTAGATTGAGCTATCCCTTTTGGGTGGAGAGTTTAGTCCTGTAGATGCATGCTGTGCCTTGCTTCTTGGCCTCAGGGCAAGAAAACTGGCTTGGCCTGTTTTATTTAGCAGCACAAATTTAGAAAATAAAGACCCAGGTTGCATTTGTCATCAACAGCTGCACACATGAAAATCATAAATTTAATTTCTTCTAAATCCAACTGAGTGGATGTGTCCCCATGCCAGAAAAGTTTGGCAGAAATTGGCTTAGATTATGTGTTTCTCTGTGTGGACCACCAAGTGCCAATGCCTCTCTCCAGGTCTTGCCAGGTTGAATAAATGCACTTGACTTGTCAATGCACCATTGAAGGGACTAACAGCAAAGGGATGAGCACTGCTGCCAGTGCATCTCCATCTTGTTCAAGTCTCTCTAGACCCTGTGTCACCTTTATGCAGAGGCAGCTGAAGACTCACCTTCAGTCATGGTCTGGAAATACATCTTGCCACTATACCGGCCATACCCAGCCACAGTACGCGCTCGCACCTGGAAGACGTAGATGGTGCCAGCTTTGAGGTTTTGCACTGCCACAGTGTTGGTGGGGCTCTTCACTGTTGTTGAATTTATCTCACTGAGATCCTGCCAAGAAAATACAAATCCGTCATCAGAAAAATAAATCCAGAATCAGGCACTGCATTTCTAGAAGGAGGAAGCATAGGAGACCAGGGTAGCATGGGGGAAAAACTACGAAGGTGAGACCATGGGCCCGAACAAACAGGTCATTCCTCTGAGCCTGCCTCCCAGCAGGGAGACCACAAATGTAGGAATGTGAGTATGGATATCCCTGGACTACCCACCACCTCTCAGGAAAGACTATGATGAAGGTGTTTGCTAGAAACTCAGGTTGTTTCTCCAAGTCGTGAGCTTAATGGGGATGGGAACAGCTTCCCTCTTCTGTGCCCACTTACTCTTAGCACTGTTGCCCTTCCTCACTCCCTCCTCCTGTGCCTGATCCAGCCTTGGCACCATCTCCATTTGCTCTTCTCCATCTCCCTTTGCTTGTGCTAGAGGTAAAGCCCACCTGAACACAGGGTTTTGGATCTCAGGAGAAGTACTGCTACCATTGCCCTGCTCAGGGTCTGCTTCACCAGGGACCATGGCTAGGCTTTCAAAGCTGGGGAATGGAAGAGCATATTTAAAAGTGACAGGATACTTCCAAATTTTTGCCCCTCCCTTTGTCTGCAGTTTTTGTAGCTGAGGACATGAGCAGTCATATCATAATGATATAGATGGTATTGCACTTGTGTAGGTGATGGATCCATCACTGTCCTTAGTAATTATGCCTTTAGCTGAGCATCCAGAAGCACTAGTAAATGGGCAGGATCTCCTTGTGCTTGCCACTGTAGAAGAGAACAGACAGTCCCTGTATCCCACCGGGGACATGAAGAAATAGGTCAACAGAGGAGGTTGAAAGAGGATGCTGAATGTGGTCAGGGCAAGGTGGCCAGGTGCCTGGCAGCCATTAAGTCCTGAAAGTCAGTGAAAAGCAGCAACATATGCAAACAGCAAGATGTTTCTGGAAAACAGAAATCTTATGAAAGCCAAGCTCTGACTATGAGCCTCTATAAAAGGAAGTGTAGGCACCGATTTTTGAATCAAAAGTCTGTAGGTACATTGAAAGTGCTTATCCTTTCTGGTAGCATCACCAATCTTGCAGGTTGGGCTTTGGCAGGATCATTGGTTCAAACAGATCAGCAGCTGATAGCTCAAAATCTGAGTTGGCTAGTTTACAAGTGAGTCCCTGAGATCTGCTAACTTCAAAGTCACTACAAAGGGCTCAGCAAGCCCAGGAACTCCCACCCTGCACAGACTCACCAGTGAGGTGAGATAACTTCACAAGAAGTAGGCAGGGACTGGCAGAAAGAAGAATTCAGACACACAGTTTGTGCAATCCCATCAAGTGGGACGGAGGGTGTGATGAAAGGACTGGTCTTTTGTCCCAGCTGTGAAACTCCATTGGGGGGACATGGAGGGATTTCTTCTTGTCCCATGCTACCATAAGGTCAGAGTGAAACTCCCAGCGAGGAGCAAATCATCCACTCCGCCTCACCAACTTATTCTGCAGTAGACTCCTGAAGGACAGAGGGTATCAAAGAAGCAATCAGGCAGAAGGTCCCATCTCGTGATGAACCAAGGTTTCTTCAAACAAAAGTGCAAGTTACACAGGCTGTTGCTTTCTTGTGTTGCTTTGGCTGTCTGCAGGCAACAGTGAAGTAGAAGTCAGTGGAAAGTCTTGCACCCAACTTTTGCACACCCTTTGCCTAGAGGGGGCTGTGTCCTCAGCCTCCTCAGCTGCTGGACCACAAGATGAGTCAGAGGTTATCTTGCCCATTAATAAATAATGGTGTTTGTCTTTGGAGGCTGCTGGTCTCCTTTCTTTTCCACTCTCCACATCACTAGTGACTTTGCTTTCACGTTCATTCACTTCTGAGAACAGCACTGGTGCCTCCACCCAGAGGATCTTTTGCACAGCCATCAGCTGTGGTATCAGCAACATTAGAGACCCACAGAAAGTCATTCACTATGGCCCTTCATACAGCAGACCCTGTTGAACCAATGTTCTCATGTTCCTGGAAGAGCCTGGTGCTTACTCAGTTAGTCATTGCACTGGAGCAGCATTTCAAGCACACTGGCATTTTCAAGATGGATTGTACTTGTGACCTGGGTTTGTGCAGACTATTTGCCTCAAAGCTGCAAAGCAGCTGAAGGACAACATTCATGGAGTTAATTTCTTCTTGTATTAAGCTTTTGATTGAGCAGTACTCTGGTGAGGACAGCTGGTAAGAGATCGGTCTGGCAGGAATGTGTTTCTCCAAGTGTGCAGCCAAACTCGGACGCTTGGAAATACTGATGGCACATCATTCTACAGGGTAATGTGGAGCAGCTCTGCAAATGCCTGAGAGACCTCCACTATTAACGGTGTTCAGGAACAGTTTTCTCTTCTAAAAACTACAACTTCAGTTTTACCCATCTGGACCTAGTGCTGAAGGTGCCTGAGTATCACTGGGGTGTTTGGGAATTAGACTAATGACAATGAAAAGCTCAAGTACAGGTACACAGACAAGAAAAGAAAAGATGAGCACACAGAACTGATTGTCTTGTTTGTCTTATCAGGCCTCAGCACGCCCTTGGACCTTTCCCAAGCAGTCTAGGAGAGAAATAGGTCAGGAAATGTTTACAGTTTTAGTGCTCAGGGGCTTGGACGAATCCTCCCAGGCCCTTGGATGGCACTAACAACACAGTTGTTTTAAAATCATCTGTCCAACTGTTTGAGGGAACCTCATCTCTGCTCCTGAAGGACTTCAAATTGAATGCAATGGGCATGCTTGCAAAATGGTTTATATCCTGGAAAATTGATGTCTGTCTATCTGAGGAAGGTGTGCTCATAACTGTGCTCTCCTTTAATCCCAGAGTGCAAAAAAAGAGCATTTACACCTCTTCACCCTCCCTTATCGAACCCATTCTTTCCCCTTGGCATATTGCTCAGTCATCACCTCTCCCGCAACCTGGTCATTCACTTCAGACAATTCTCCCCTTTCACCCCTCTGTGGTATTGCAGCAGGTCCAGGGCAACCCAGGTGGTTTAAAGTCGAAGTCCAAGCTGCTTTTTTTTGTAGAGGTTTGTGGGTCATTTTTTTTCCTGATGATTTTGGTTTGAGTTTGGAAATCCTAATCCAAAATAACACACTTATTTCCTCATAGGTTTGATTTTAAGTCCTCATCTAGTTCCCTTTCCTATGAGTCGAATTTAAGCTGAAACCAAAGTCTGAGCAACAAAGAAAGAGTTTTTTGAAACAGATAGTCTTTGAAATGCTCAAAGGATTTGCAAAAATTGTTTCTAAAAAGTCATATTTTTATCAGGAAAAAAAAAAAAAGCCAAAGAAAAATGTCAACCAACATAATTTGGCAGACAGCTCCACTGTGCATCTGTACAGCGGCAATCTGTTGTGGTTTCTGAGGCAAACAGAGCCACACATATAAAGCTTGACTAAGGCTGTGTGCCAAATCATCACACACATCTGCATTTTGGTCCCCATGGGATCAAGTGCATTAGGAGGGATGCTCAGATATGGTAAACAGGATCCTGCTGGCCACCCTGGAGATGGATGATGAGGTCCACAGATCCCAGACTCCCATGGGGAACACCATTTGTGGGGAGATCTAGGGGAAAATTTGGTCTTCCAGCCAAGTATCTGATCAAGTGCAGCGTGGTAAGAGTGTCTGAATGCCTCTCAATAAAACTTGTGAGTTCCACACAAAACTTGTGTGATCCACAGAAGCAGTATGGATCCTGGGCATGGACTGGGACTGCAAGAAAGCTATTGCAGGGGGCTTCCTGCCAAAGTTTCTTCTCAGTCTTCTTATCTCACAATTTTCCCCAGACACAGCCCCCTCCAATGGTTTGGGCAGCACAGGAGGAAGGGGCAACCCAACTCTTGCTCCATCCTAGGGACAGGTGGGAAACACCAGGCAGGAGCTTTGGCCCCATGCTCAGGGATGCTGGTGTCCAGCACTGCAGACTGGAGACCAGGAAAGTCCCCTGAGCCAGTCCAGGAGCAGCGCTTCCAGCCGTCCTTGATAAGAGCCCCGGTGACATCCAGTTCTGGGGATGCTGTAATGATATGCACTGATTTGCTCTACCCACATGTGAAAGAAAATCATAATGTTGCCTCTATACAGGGATTTTTAATAGCATCTAATAATAGCAATGTTAAAAATAGTGTGTGAAATAGAAACAAAAATATACCTTTGTTTCAGGTATTGTGAACAGGTCTCTGTAATGCTAAAACACTCCATTTTTTTTTTATTTAATTTTTGTTTTTATATAGAAGAGAATCAATTCAAAATGAAGAGACAAAACACTTTTTATACAAAATGTATATGCTGCTATTCTTACATTTGAACTGTTTTCATGCTAATAAAATATAATTTTCTACTATTCTACTAAATTCCACTAGAAACAACTTAACTAGCTCCAGAGATATTTTCTGAGCATTCAGAAGCACATGGGACAGTTTGCAATGAAACATTTTGGAAGAAAATCACCTCTGTACAGACTGGCAGTCAAGTGAGGACACAACTGGGATGTGTCACACACCCCATCCAAATTGCAGTATTGATGAGAAGCAGGGGAAGAGCACGGCATATCAAAAGCTGTGCGTTTTGGGGCTGTTCCAAGGGATCAAGTAAATGGCTTTCAATTGCAAAACTTAGCACTGAAATGGCTAGACTAACACGAGAGTCAGCTCTGCCAAGCAGCCAGAGAAGGATATAGTGTAATTGCATTGTTAAAAATGCAGAGGGCTCTTGACTGACCAGACAAGGCACATGAAGACCTTGGTTAGTGATGACTAGTGATGGATCAGACATTGAGTGTGCAGCTGGGACACATACAGAGAAGTGTGGGGAGACACAAACCCACTGCCATTGGCCAGGCCCTGCCACTAGCTCTTGGTTATTTTTTAACCTGTTTCCAAATCCTCTGAAGTTTGCTTGCTGTGGGATTAAGCTTTGGCCCAATGATCCCCTTCTGAGAATGACATACATCTTTGGTTGGGGAGGAGATAAAAACACGTCTGTCTTCTTCAACCAAAGCACCAGCAAAAACATATACCAAGAGATTCAAATTATTCTGCCCCTCTGCTCTGCTCCAGTGAGACCCCACCAGGAGTACTGCATCCAGCTCTGGGGTTCTAAGCACAGGAAAGACCTGTTGGAGTGGGTCCAGAGGAGGCCACAAAAATAATCAGAGGGATGAGACAGCTCTCCTATGAGGAAAGGCTGAGAGAGTTGGGGTTGCTCAGCCTGGAGAAGAGAAGGCTCTGGGGAGACCTTAGAGCGGCCTGCCAGTACTTAAAGGGGGCTACAGGAAAGGTGGGGAGGGACTCTTGATCAGGGGGGTGGGGATAGAATAAGGCATAATGGTTTTAACTAAAGGAGGGTAGATTCCGACTAGAAATAAGGAAGAAATTCTTTATGATGAGAGTGGTGAAACACTGGTACAGGTTGCCCAGAGAGGTGGTGGATCCTCCCTCCCTGGAAACATTCAAGGTCAGGCTGGATGGGGCTCTGAGCAACCTGATCAAGTTGAAGACGTCCCTGCTCATTGCAGGGGGGTCAGACTAGATGACCTTTAAAAGTCCATTGCAACCCAAACCATTCCATGATTCTATGTAATATCAGGACAGACAGTGCCTCAGCATCAGCATGTGGGGCCACTTGCATTGTCCACTCTGTCAGGACTAATGCTCCACCTGAGATCCTGCTGCCATAAAAAGCAATGTCTGAGCATGGCTTGGGCTGCTTGTCCCCATGATCAGGGACACTCTGCGTCCTAAGGTCTGACAATGGGGCAAGCAGATGCCCACCTTGCGGTTGGCTGTGAAGACCAGCCACGAACAGCAGCTTCCCCTTTAGACAAAAATTCCATTTCTTTACAGCCTCCCCCAGAAAACAGAGGGAAGTGGGAAGAAAGAAAGAGGGGGAGAGATTAAGAGAAAGTAAGAGGAGGAGAATGAACTCCCTGAGATCTTCTGTCTCTATGTCGAGGGTCCCCAGGGAAAGGCCCCTCTTGCTTTCCAGATCTGTCTTGTTACCTACTCATTCATCTTGCCATGTATTCTGGGATCTTTTCCAAGGGTCAAATAAATGGCTGTGATTTATGCAATATAGGTCAGGACCTATTTAACAGCTTACAGAGAAGCTCCCCCCTCCCCATTCTCCCTCTGGCTCTTGGTGATGAGAAAATAGGTCATAGGCAGGCAGTGGGGGGTATTAATCATTTCTTCTGGCAACTGCTGGGAAAAATATTTTCAGTTCCATTTAATCATAAAGCTCTTTAATTAGTTAGTTTGCAATTTTTAACATATAGTTTATATGCTGTTGTGTAAGGGAACAGATTCTGGAAGGAGAAATCTCCTGCTCCCCACCTCCCCTGGGTAGCACAGATGAAGTTCACAAGCCAAGCAGAGCTTGGCAGGTCCTGGGACCAACATCAACATTGTCTTCAGGTCTCTCAGCAGCCACACAATTCCAGCCCCATGGGATGAACACCCTGGCACAGCCCTGGCTTGCAGTCCTTCTGCTCCCCTGGGCAGGCAGGAGGTGGAAGGGGCATGTTCCTGAGGAATGAAAGAGCCAGAGTTGCGGAAGACCTTCACATCAGCCTCCTCCAACTCTGTAGTGCAGTATGTACCCTCCATGGGAGTATGGGACAGCTTCTCCCTGGGTACAACACCCTGGTTCAGGCTGCTGCACACAGATGCCAAACTCACCTTTGGTATAAATGCACTGACAGACAGCATTACACAAAATCTCAGAGACTGGACATTCAATTAGTGTGGTCCAGACTGGGAGTAGATGCTCCCTGCCATCCCCATTCCCCACTAACGCCCCAATAGGGGAAAGGGAAAAATTAGACCCCAGACCCTGGCTACCCAGCCCTCCCTGCAACGGGTCCCCACCTGTCACAAGTGCTGGAGAGGTGAAGGAATAAGCTCCTCCAGAAAGCCCAGCAGATTTTGCACACTTGCAGTGTCTACTCAGGGTGACTGGAACCACTGCTGGACTCCAGAGGGTTGACAGTCACTACCACCCACACAGCCAACCACTGCAAGAGAAGTAACCTATTGATCAATCAACGGCTGTAGCTGCTGTTACGCCCTTCCACAAAGCTTTGCACCACCTCATCTCCCCAAAACCTGCGGCTGAACCCTGCCAAGGTCCCGTAGTACCTTCTCATAATATTGCAGCTCATAATCAAGGATGACTCCGTTGGGTTGGTCAGGCTGAGACCATGAGAGGGTAATGCTGTCCACGGTGCGGCTGACCTGGTGCATGATGGACACAGCTGAAGGAGCTAGAAGAAAGAGCAAGAGAGAGGCCTCAGTCACATGCCTGCACGGGCAGGACCCACATCCCCTGACCGGAGGCAGTCAGGTGTATTACTCTATCTGGAGTTACTGAATTTGCTTCCAGCAGTGGCAGAGCTGTTCAGTGGTCAGGAGATTCTGGCTTTTGCTGTTTGTACAGAGCAGTTAGGGGAGAACAAAATGTTTCCATTGCTCACTAAGAGTTTGTAATTAGAAGCCATATGGGGCAGCATCTTGGGCAGAAAAACAGACCATTCCCAGGCAAAACGAACCCAGAGTTAGAGCAAACACAGCCTTGTTCCCTTGGAAAAAGCACTACCAGACCAGCAACATGAATCCTCCCTACTTGCCACGGGGAAGTAGGGGGTTTTGTACTTTGACATTTGCATAGAGAAGCTTTATAAGGCATAGGCAGACGCAGGAAGCAAGCAGCTCCTCTCCGCCTTGGTGTGCTGGGCTTGCAAGTTGCACATACCAATCCAGGGAGGTGCATACAGCAGCCTGAGCACGCAACGCAAACCTGACCTGACATGCTGACAATGGTGAGTCTCCTGCCTCGTCAGAGTGCCCTGGAAATAGCACACCCACAGATGCCACTTGTCCCACGGAGCACAGTGGGACCTTCCAGCTGCTCCTCAGACAATCCAGCCAGCTGCCCACCCTTTGCACTGCCCTGCGACGCCTACGTGGCTTGACACATGGCCAGGTAGAAACAGTGCAGTCTCAGCTGGTGCCATGCTGTGGGAAAACTGTCTTCCAGGGACCTGTGCTAACAAGCCCATGGGGCAGGGACCGTAGCATGGAGCTGCCACTTCCTTGGGAAACTCTGACCAGCTCTGATCCTGCTTGCTGTGCACTGGGGCAGGTGAGCAAGCAGCCCGGACTGCTTTTAATCTTGTTGGCTCAAGTATTGATAGCAGAGATGCCATAGCATTGCAGGTATCAGCCTACAGCCTGCCACCCTTGCTGGAGGGGCTAGCACACACAGGTGCCCGTGCTGCCCCCACTTCTCTGCATCTCGGACTAGTGAGCTGAGCACACGTCCTTGCCCACACTCTGCCAACACAGCACTGCCAACACAGTCTCCATGGACAACAGTCCGGAGGCCATCCCAGACCTCACCCAGCACCAGACCAGCCTTGGAGAGTGCTAACTTCAGCAGAGCATCAGCTCTGGCACTCCTGCCAGCGCAGACTCACTGCTTTGGCAGCTTCAGGGCAGAAGGGAAGCCTCGGGGGTGGGTGAGGACTGGAAAGCGGTAGCAAGAAAGCTTCCCCATCACTTGCATGACAGGCCTGGTTACAAATGGATGCAGAGAGGCTTGAACTCAGAAGGGCTTTTACCAGGTCCAACCCTTTCAATATTTCATGGAAGAACAACTCACCTGACAGCTCTGAGAAACAGCTTGGAGGAGCGGCACACAATGCAAAGCACCTCTCAGCCATCCCCAGTCTGGTTTCCCATGGCATCATGAGCAGTGACAGAAACTGTGCCAGCTGAGGAATGCAGACACAGCAGTGGTAGGACTGCGCTACTTGGACCAGCGTGGCTGCAGCATGTTCTTACACATCGCTGTAATGAATTGCAGCTGAGAAACACCTCTCAAAGTATACCCGAAAAAGCCATCGTTTTGATCTACCATTTTTGCCTGTTAACTACTTTTTCTGTAGCACTGTAGCTCCCAGGATGTCCAACGCCTGTGTGCCAAGGGGAATAGAGGCCAGGTGTGGGCAAAGCGAAACCTGCCACTACACTGATGCCCCATTTCCCTTCATCTCTCTGGGTTTCCCCACCCGTGAAGGAAGGCACAATGCAGGTCAGCCTCAGCAAAGTGTTGGCTACCTCTGGTTTTGTCCTGCACTTAACTAAAACTGCACAAGGACAGAAAACTTCCATCATTGGAAATGTTCAAGGTCAGGTTAGACAGGACTTGGAGCAACCTGATCTAGTGTAAGATGTCCCTGTCCACAGCAGGGGGGTTGGTCTAGATGATTTTTAAAGGTCCCTTCCAACCAAAACCATTCTATGATTCTAACAGATTCTGACACCAAAGCCTCACCTCCTTCCCAACACCAGTCCCTCCATCCATTTCTGGCTAAGCTGAGACTTATTATGCACCAGTTCAAAACTCTCATCATCTCAGACCTTCCCTTGCTCTGTGGCATACAGCATTGCTTCCCTCCTGCCTTAATGTCCCAGTCTCACCACTTCAGGCCCATATTTACAAATGCATGGGTTTAGTTTCTCATGCCGGTGTTAAGATAAAGCACAGGTAACATTTCTGGAGCCTGTCAGCTCTTGCCAGAGATTGCTGCTTCTTTGTTAACAGACATTTCATATGATATCTGCAACCTCCAAGACAAACATTTCTCTTTCTGTGGAGAAATGCCTTGGAAGGAAGTTGTGACCAAGCTACAGATTGCCCCGCAGCAGGGATTGAGGCTGTGTGAGCACACAGCCTGTGGTCTCTGGCACATCTGAACTGTACATGCTCTGGGAACCGATCCCACACTCGTACAGGCCATTCCAGGACAGAGGCTGCACACACCCAGACCTGTCCCACCACAAAACTGGGATGTGGTAACATCCCACGATTTAGACACAGGTTCAATGGCTGACCATGCAGCTGGAGAAGCTCCTCAGCTCCAGGTCCCTCCAGGTGTAGGAGTGAGGTCCCTGGGATGATTTTCTCCCACTTCCATACATGTATGAATCATGCATGACCAGTCACAGCGCAGGCAACTGTATACTTGGTGAACCTGCCCTTGGCTGGTTCAGAAAAAAGAACCAAGTGGATGAGGTGGGGCTCATCTATGGAGCCTTAATGAGATAAATGCGCTGCATGTTGGGGAGGAGGCAGGTGAGGTGAATGACTACAGCAACTTCAGCGCTTTTCCTACACCTGGGGCAAAGGAGTGTCTCTGGATAGGCAGGAACCTCCACCACTGTACCTTCTCTGTAACTGCTCTTGTTATCACAGACATCAGGGAAATGTACAATAATAAAATCATAGAAAGCTTTAGGTCAGGAGTGACCTCTGGAGGTTTCTAGTCCAAACCAGCTTGCAGAGCAATTTCAAAGTCAGATCACTTTGATCGGGACCACATCCAATTGAGATCTGAATATGTTCGGGGATAGGGATCTCACAGGCTCCCAGAGCACCAGTCCCCTGCTGCCTCACTCCTGTGGGGAAGATGATTTTCTTCACATCCCATCAGAACTTCCCTCATTGCACATTGTGGCTATTACTACTGTCCTCTCACTGTGCACCTCTGGGAAGGGACTACCTCTGTCTTCTCTTTAAACCCCCTTTTGAAGTGGAAAACTGTAGCTAGATGCCCCTTAGCCTCCTCCTGTCCAGGCTGGTCAAACCTAGCTCTCTCAGCTATCCTCATGTCTTGTGCTCCAGCCCTGGTCCATCCTAGTGATCCTCTTGATGGACCTGCACCAGTTTGTTGATGTCTCTGCAGTACTGGGGAGCCCCAAAGTGGACACAGTACCCTAGATGTGGCCTCGTGAGTGCCAAGCAGATGGGAACAATCACACTCCTCAATTTTTTGCCTGTGCTCTTGCTAATAGAGCACAACATGCTGCAGTGCTACAAGACATGGTCTTCATCACACATCTTCACCACAGGTGAGGGCAACAGCTTGTGCAGAGAGAGGCTCCCCATTCTGTGAATAAAGGATGGGCTGGGGTCAATGTCTGAGTTTGAAAGCAGTTTAGTGGAACCAGTCAGACCTCAGAGTGACTTTCTGAAGTCTAGTCAGAGGGAAAAGCTTCTAGCCAGATAGTGGCACAAACGCTCAGGCATCTGGTATCTGGCAGCTCTCATCCCCTGGAGCAAAAGGTTCCTTCACAGTCAGCTGCAAAGCTAGTGAAGACCCATGAGTTTCTGACTCTTCATCACTTCCAAGGCTGGAAGGTCATGGTTGCAGTTCTCTGCTCTGCCCCCAAGACCACATGGGAGACCTTGTACAAATCCCCATTATCCCTCTGCACTGCCATTTTCTATGTGGAAAATGAGGCTAGCCACCCTGTCTCATTTTCACTCTCTGCCTGTCTTATCTAATTTTACTGAGCACCTTCAGAGGCAGAGACTCTACTAAGGAGTTTGGTCCCCCAGCAGTATTTAATGCATGTAATATAATAGCTAAAAAAGAAGATGAAAGTAGTTAAAGTGAACACAAAGATCTTCCAATACGGGATAGTGCTACCTAGTGATAATCTAATCACAAGGTATGCTTCAGCTCTGACAGAAGCATCAAGCAGTTTGTGTCCATCCTGAACTACGAGATAGAAAGGGCTTTTCTGCAACAGGACATGGTGAAGTGACAAATACAACAGAAAAGACTGTGAGAGATACACACTTTCTGACACATGATGAACTCAGCTGTGTAAAGATGGTAAAAGTCTCAAAACATCTAAGTTGACTTTCCTGAACTATTGTTTCTGAAAAAAACTATACATAGGTTCTCTCCATTGGGTTTCTGAGTATTTCAAAGCAAAGATTTAACAAACTGCAAAAAGGACCAAAATAAATAAATAAATAAAAAGTCTTTGTTCTTCCAGCCTTCTGTATGCCAAGCTCTTTGAGGACCGGCCAGAGTATAGCTGGGCTGATAACACCAAAGGTTTGCTGGCAGCATTTAACCTGGCCCTGTGGGATCCATCACCTTGTCCTACCAACCCCGACTCCTCTTTGTTCCCTTGTGACAAAAGAAACAGAGCTTTAGGGACCACTGCTCAATTTCCAGTTTGGAAGTTGTCACTAAATTGCCCAATGACACAAATTGCCCAGTGCCAAAGACACACCCTCAGTTGTTAGCTCAGCTCGTTGTCCCTTTTTCATGGAAGGTGTTTGAATTACTGTGCTTGGGGAAAATGGATGGTGGAAAACGGACCTGCCCTGTGACACATAAAGATCAGATTTGGAGCATCCCAGCTCTCAGAGACACTAACACTTTGAGATGTCACTCCCATGAAT